CATAAAACGAGTGACGCATAGTAATCACCTAAAAGCATGATATGACGCATAACCACAATCACACATGCATCAGTATATACAATACATATATATATATGTGTAAGTATGCACGTAATTGAATGAATTCATACAAGTAACACTGCAATTAAACAAATATAAAACTAGTTCAATTTGCATGCAAATTGTGTACTTATTTGGCTAAATAGTTCGGTGAATTTATTGAATGGCACGTAAAATTGTTTGCTTGCAGCACACTTATGTACTATTGTATATAGATATTTCTAGAATTATTAATATTTGGTGTTTCAGCTGTAGGGCTGCTGTGAGGCTTGGTAAAAGTTTACACTATTTTACTAAAGTTTTATTAACAAAAGTGTGGAAATTATATAAATTTAATTAGTTTTGGTAATTATTTTTCTGTGATTGAATTAATAATATTTGGGCGCAATAATTTCCCAAAAATTATTAAGCTTCATTAATTAGGATTGGCTTGTATAATCAGCTGAGATTATTTAGAGTTTAAGCAAAGAAAATATATAAAATAAAAAAAGCATATGGAATTCATTTTCTAAATTTATTGATATTAAAATAAATTTGGAATAAATAATTTATTCATAGTGTTTGTTTATCCAGAAAATTTGGTTTACATGCTTTTTTCTCATTTACAAAATTTGGCCAAAAGATAAATTCCACGCCTCAACTTAAAAACCCAAAAATTTAGGAGAAAAAATGAGGTTTTCAAAAAAAAAAAAAAAGAATTAAAATGTGAATAATTCAATGTGATGACCGAAAATTTATCTTTTTCATACAGATAAGGGTTGGATTTTATTTTTAATAAATTATTTCGGGTAAATGATCGCCGCCATCTGGTTCGTATAAATTCCAACTTCTTTTTGCAGCAATCTGAGCCGCATGTCAACAATAACGCGTTGAATATTCTCCCCCGATACGTCAATCGGACTTATCTATGTAGACACATTATCACACAAAGCCCCACCCAGCGGTCATAAGTTGCACTATCTTGAACGCTACGCCACAGGCTGAGGACGCGTGATATGAAGCGCTCACCGTAGGTCTTTGCAAGAAATTGATTGTTTCGTTGGCTGTAGGGTCTTGTTGTAACAGCAGTTCGGCTACATCAAAATCTTCAACATCTTCAATTCAGGCACGAAAAAGTCATCAGTAATGCCTCTAAAGCCTTCTCCATTTACCGTATCAATTTGACCGTCTTTATTTTTGTAAAAAAAAAAATATGAACCAATGATTCCCTCTGCCCTTTAAGTACATCAAACAGTGACTTTTGAACTAAAGAAAGGTTTATAAACCGGAGCATACTCGTGCAGAAATCAATGTTGAAATCTGGTAACCGATGTCCAGAGTTTACCTGGTGTAGGAGGGAAAAAAAAAATTGTACAGCCTGCTGAATGACGGTGAAAATGCAATACCCTGAACCCGATGAGGAGCCCGAGACTATAATAGATGATGATGGAAAAGGCGTTCCACTACCCAACTAGTATGACATTTGAATATGGACTGCCCGTTTAAAGAGCAACAATGCGGCTGGAGTCGATGTCTTACCGGCTGAGCTATTCAAACATGCCGGTGAAGAGCAACATAATCTTTGCAGAGTATGCGACGTTGGAAACCTAAGTGTGCTCTGGCCAATCGATAAAAATTGGGACCCCCAGGGTCTGCGCTAATTATCGTGGGATAAACTTTCTTAATATTGCATATAAGGTCGTATCGAACGTTTTATGTAACAAACTGATTGGACCATATCAGTTTTGCCAGGTATTTGCCATGCGTCAAGTCTTCCAAGTCTTAAAAAATACCGATACCTTACCTTTTTCACTGAGGTTGCGCATTATCCACTGGAGTAAGCGTGATGTGAAACTGATCCATGGTTGCTCGAATTACCCACTCTGATGGGCGCTTATGTCGACGGAATATTAGACGCAGCGCGCGATGCCTCGCTTGAACCGAACCTTTTTTACCGCAATAAATTTCCACAACTTGCAAACGTTGTTACGGAGTAAGTCAGTTCATTTTGAAATGACAATGCAAAAAAAAGAGCACCCTTTTCAAAATGTAAACTCAATTGACCACAAACATAATTATTATGGCGCAGGCCATTTTCCATGAATGCCTACTCTTTGTTGGCTTAACAACCCAAACGCCTGTTGGTCACCAACTGGCTATTGGTATTACGAAATTTTGTTGTTGTAACAACCAATCATGCCAGTCAAATTGGCTCAACTAGAGTATTGTTTATTTATATTATGGCCTCCTAATTCATTGCCATTATCACACTGAACGCAATAACCCGGCAAATGAAAAACTCAACTGCTGCGTAAACATTCTAGCTCTGAACTAGTGTGTAAAGGATGATATTATACCCTTTTGCTATTTAGACTTGCAGAATTTTTCTTTTCAATTAGCACACCACTGGATAGTTCAACACATATTAATCTACCCTTCTAGTTACTTGTTCACGTTTTGGACAATCCTAGCACGCTTTTAGGCGCCATTTCTCCTAATCGTATGACAGTTCAACGCACAGCCTAAGTCGTTGATCATAGAGACATCAAACTCGAAGCATGTGCTCTGTGTATGACGTACGCAGTCGATTTGAAAGGATTTTTTTCTGAAATTCTACTCCTAAAAAGGGGAAAATGGAACGAAAAAATTTGTTTGTCTTCCCACCGATTTGCCTCGAAAATCAGCGTTTTATTACATTGCAGGAGCGGCTTAATTTAGTTTACTTTAAGAATTTAATTAATTATTTGTATGCTTTGTTGTTTTAAGGAATAAATTACTTTTGCATCTCTTTTGCAGTAAATCCATTTTTCCCCTCAGAATGGTGAATTGCAATTTTTTTTTGCTTTCACACTTTACCTTGCTTGCTTATAAAATAACTGAATTACATGTCGATAGCAATGCTGAGTTTTAAAGTTTTGCGCTCCGCATCAACGTCAACGTTCTAATGGTTTTTCGCTTTTTATTAAATTTGCTTTCAGTTGTTGGAAGGATTAAAACTTTGCGAAATGTCAAAATTGCGTTAGTTCCAATCAGTTTTCAGTTAAGGAAGTTGTGGAGGAATTTTAGTTTCCGCTTACATATATATACATATAAACATAATTAATCAAATGTGAATACTTTTATGAATGGTTTTAAAGCTCGCTTAGTATGCTACTTCGGTTTTATTACATTAAAAAAAATATTAAAAAATTTATTAAAAAAAAAAAAAAAATTGGGTGAAAAATTTTACGTTCAATGCATTTCTGTGAGTAAGCGCACCACAAATTGGAATAGAACGTCGGCCGAAAAAAGTTTCACGGTAAGAATTGTTACGTCTCTCCGCGTGTATTTCAGATATGAAATAATCATAAAAATAATTTAGTTATTTGGAGGAAAGTCAAAGTATATAATGACACATATATTTTAGGTCGAGTAAAAAGTTCGTTCGGTTTTTATTGATTTTTCAAAATATGATAACTTTTTGCACATTTGTCCCATTTTGTTCGTAAACATATTACCAACCAGATGTCAACTTCATTATACCCCTCTCGCAGAAAGCTGCGTCCCTATTGGCAAAAAAATCGGAGAGCCAATTTTCACAGGCCAACTTCTCACCATAAAGCGCGATCGCATGGACAGGAAAAGATGATAATCACTTGGTGCCAGGTTCGGACTATAAGTTGGGTGCATGAGGACCTACCGTCTGAGCTCTTGGAGCTTCTGGCACGTCACCAAAGACGTGTGTGGCCTGGCGTCGTCGTCATGGAACACAATTCGGTCTCTGTTGATCAAAGATGGTCTCTTTTGGATGAGTGCTGCCTTCAAGAGGTCCAGTTGTTGGCAGTAGAGGGCCAAATTAGGCGTTTGGCCATAGGAAATCAGCTCTTAGTAGGTGATTCCTTGCCAATCCCACCGAACTCGCAGCAAAACCTGGTACATCAATGACATCGAATTTATCGGAACGGAACCTGGCAAAACACTTTTGAGCTACACGTTCGTTTATAGTATCGGGCCCATAAACTAAATCAATTTTTTCAGCCACTTTGGCTGCTTTTTTGCCCTGATCAAAGAAAAATTGTAAAATATAGCGAATTTTTTCTTCGCTGGTGCCCATCTTTGACGAGCGCTCACAACGTACTGAGTTAATCAATCGAAAAACTGTCGAAGACAGATTTTAAGCACGAATAAACACGTTTTCGTTTTCGGCGCCATATAGTATGACATGATGCGACACTTAACACTAGTACAATGGACAATAGCGCCATCTCTTAGATAAAAACCGAACGAACCCGGTTGAATTATTGTTATTGAAACCTCGGTAATTAGTCGATTGTGCAATCGGACTTACTTGTGTTGCCGTGTTTGTCACAGACATCGCTGTTTTCCACAATGTCAGTCTCCATCCCTGAGGAAATCCTTTGTGAAAATCTCATTGAACAAAACTTTGTTCTTGGAATGAAAAGGAGGTTCCCAGACATTCCGGAATCTATCTTGGTCCGAATCCCATACCTGCGCAAATTTAGCACCGTCCGCTCACCAGCTCGGTGACTCAATGTCAACGTGTCTACATACAAATCTCATTTGATAAAAAAAAGTGCCTACCTTTGTGTGGCAATAATGAAGCGCCAGCAGCTTATCAGCATTACGTTTCTTGGCGCTCCGCTGTATTTTATAAAATTGGGAAAAAACCAAAAACGGAGTGAGATCGTCAAAAAAGTGACAGATCTTATATCTGAGATGACTTCAGCGATAGATGCTGTTTTTTAACTGTTCCTAGGTGGGGTGGTGCGAGCCGATACAACAACATTCCACATGTACATATATTAAATGAATTATATATTTATTTAGATTATGCATATACATATATGTATATTTTTTACATTATTTTTTATATTTTTTATTAACAATTTTTTTTATTATTTATTTCAGTTCAATACTGCTTTTACTTATTTTTTTAACGTAATAAAAATGTTTATAATTTTTACAGTATTTAATTAAATAAATAAATTCTACTGTTTAAATGTTTGAAATATGTACTTAAAATTAGTATTTGTGCCTTTCTTCAAGGATTTGGCAAGTAATTATCTTCCACAACAACTGTTGTAATCGAGATTTAACAGTTCAATTCAAATAATTCAGCGCCATTTCCGGGAAACGTCGCAAAAACTACATCATCAAAATCGTTTATGCCATAACGTTCAATCAAATGTGACGGTAAAAGCTTGAAATAATTCTCTTTGAGCATTTTTATATATTTGGTTGACGATTCCATAGAGTCACAGCAAGCAACAATGCAGCCGCCCCAACTGAAATGGTTGAAAAACGCAAAACGAAATTAAAAGGATTGGATTGGCAGGTCTATATTTATGTAGATAATGTGCGGCATCAGCGTTATGGTGATTTTATATAAATACATAAGTACAAGTAATCGCCTTACCCGGCACCGGTGAGCCGTGCGCCCACCCCCGCGTCATCAGATAAGGCAATCAGTCGCTCCAGATCAACGTGCGTACACTCGTACAATTTCTTAAGGCTTTCGTGTGATTGACGCATCAATTGTGACAGCAGCGCGAATTGTTTCGCCGAATCTATTGTTGTGTCACGAACAGCGCCATTTGTTGCATTGACACCGCTACCATTCGACTTGCCATTCACGCCATTACTTTGCAGCTGATTTTTGGTGGTTGGACTACCCAAGCTGGTTTGCTCGCATATTTCGCGGAATTTCGCCACGCGCAATGATTCTAAATGTACAGTTAAAATGCAAAAGATTTAACGTTATTAATTTACAAGCAAAACCCAAAGCACTCACCTTGTATTACGTGGAGCGCTCGCTGCCGTAACTTAAATTGCGTCATGTGCCGCGTATTGACTGTGAGAAATTCCCTTTCGAATTCCTCATCGCTCACATCCAAATCGCGCGCACATAACTCTACGCGCGTGTAAATATCCTTTGGCAGCCATTTTAGCACTAGTTCTTCCAGTTCGGTGAGCGTACACTGCAGTGCCTCTTGCAGCTGTACAAAGCGAATCATGCCACGCCAGTTACTGAACTCCATATGCCTGGCAATAATGCGCGCAGCCAAGCGGCATTCCACTACGCGTTCATTGAAATCCGACGAGGCAGCCTTATTCTTTGCCGCCAAGCTATTGGCCACTATGAAGCACACACCAGCCGGCAATTGTATGGGTGTTGCTTTCAGTTCCGGATGGAATTCAATGAATTGTGCACAGCCGGCCTTGGCCAGATAGGCGATAGCCTGATCCATACCGCCGCCCTGTGTGCCAATGTAGCGTTCACAACGCGCCGATATGGAGGCCAATTGTTTGCGATCCAAAGGCGACGACTGGTGTACGTATGCCGTGGCCAGTACAGCGGCGCTAACCAATGCGCTGGAGCTGCTCAAACCGGATGCTGGTGGTATATTGCCGCTCAGCGCCACAGTCATACCGATTGGTGTCAATGGTTTATTATTTGACTGTTGAATTTGCTCAAAGATACCTTTAATACCGCACAGATAGTAATTGTACCATTGTGGTCCGCTGTTCTGTGGCAAATCAATTCTGTGAATGGAATTGGAATTATTAATAAATCAATAGAAAGAAGCACACTTCGTTTACAGCATACATATGTATGTATGTATGTACATACCTGAGCGCACTCATATCACACTTAAAGTTCTCATATCGCTTTGTTTCGACATTTCGTAGCTGCAGAAAGGAGTTTTCCTCATTACGTCCGACAGCCAACAGTATGCATTGGTCGATGGCCATCGGCAGAACTGGGTAACCGCAATAGTCCACATGTTCGCCGATTATGTTAACGCTGAAGTTGCAATAGAAGAAGAGACACAATAGTAAGTTCATTTACATATAGATGTATATGAAAAGACACCGTCAAGGTTCCGGAAGAACCGGAAGTAATGGAAACAAGCGGTGGAAGTCAGTCCTTATAAGGGCCTTGACGTTTCAAAGTAATTTTTAGAGTAAGATTCGGCCAATTTTCTTATGTTAAGTTCTTAAAACGATGTCACGGAGTCATGCAAATATGGCATTGATCAAATACTTTCCCGCTCTCCGATGATATCTACGAAGCTTTGACACATTTATTTAATTTATTTAAGCTTATCCCTTTCTGAGTTCAGCAATAGAGACCTAAGATTTGCAAAAGCTTCACAGTTGTATTTTAATGGATATCAAATTGGACTCTAAATTTAACTTCACCCTCTACATTGGTTTGGCGGTCAACAAAGCGAAAGATATATACATAATAGTTAAACGATGATCAAGGAATCCATCCTCGTATACGGTACGAAAATTTCTACTACATTGCCACAGACGTACACGACCTAAGAGTTATTCTACCGGTAAAGGTAATTTTGACCTGCTCCTATGAAACATTTATTCTCATCAGGGCGCAGCTTACCTTAACTAATTCACTTATATATTTGTAACAGCTGAAGCGATTTTTGTCCAAGCTCCACCTGCAAGTTGTGGTATGCGTCTTGATGTTTTCCCAAAAAATGGAGGGACCTACAGTTTATACTGAGCCGCCTCCGAACGACCGGTGAATTTTCATAAGAAGCTATTATTTCATATCAGAAATACACTCAGAGGGCTTAGTATTCCCTGTCTAAAAGAGCGAGGACTCCAAGTTCGACCTACCGAATGGCAGTGCTCAATGCTTAACCACTCGGTTATTGCGGTCGCCCGTGAGTTAAGTCGTTAGCAATAAAATCACGAACAAAACGGCGCATATTTGACTTAAATCGGGCAAATGAACACAAAGTTATCATATGTTGAAAAATCGATAATAATAAAACCGAACGAACTTTTTACTTGACCTAATATATCGCACGATCTACCCATAAACTTTGGATTCTTATAATCTTTGGCTCTTTATCAGAGATTGTAACTTCTTCAGTAGAAGAACACTTCTTAAACTTAATTGTCTTCCGCAGAGGAAATTCTGGCGCAATCTCATTCAAACCTTCAAAATTATCGGTCTCTGCAAAGTCGTAATGCAAATATAGCAAAGATGTAATAGGCTGAGGAACAAACTGCAACATATAGATTCCAGTGGTCCCCATATCTGTATTGCATGCATTGTCCAAACTAAACATGATTGTGTCGCTCTGTAATTTCAGGGGTAAGGTATTTACCAGAGCCGTCCAAAATAAATGTAGAACCCCAGATTAAAGTGTCCCTCCAGGTATAGTCTTCATAGTTTCGGAACGAAAAAGATCTAAGAATATGAAGATTATTGCCCCGAACAGGGATATACACTAACCAGAGCCTTTAATATTCAATTTTCGAGGTTCTTCTTACACGTAAGCCTTAAGCAGGAAAAGTTTTTCGCTTTCTCCTGAACGAAGATGAAAAGCATAAATCTAATTCCGTGAGGTTTTCGCAGCGGTAAAAATCCTAGATTATTTTAACCTGTAACAATAGTTAATTGGACAGAAGAGTCAAGTTTAAGTTTCTTCTAAGAATTTTTAGAAGTTAGAAGAGCTCGGGAGTAAGCTCCGTGTGATATGCAACGACCGAGAAATGAAGAGACCTACGGTTTATTCTAAGCTTCCTCAGAACGCCTTAAAGCTATTTATGAGTTTGACTCTAGTAAACATTTGTACTCCCCTCCAGAGGGTATAGTAGTCTAAGTTTGAAGGCTAGAGTCAAACGGAAAGAGACGCCAGATGAGTAGGTTATAGGGGGCAACAAAGAGATAGATCGTGTAGTACAAAGTCTGATTGCATGAAAGCCATCGGTTAAAAATGTCTGGTAACTAGTTTTCGTCTGCTAGGATTAGATTAATAATATTCCAATAGCGCCATGAAGGTGTTCCCGAGCTCTCTGTAAATGATCTTAAAAATCAATAGAAGTTCGTGTAGTCAAACACTTCCTTCTTGATGCGCCCGGCGGTGGTTTTGCTTCAAGCAAGTGTCTGAAAAGGAGACCCCTGCTCTAGCCAATAGCCGTGTATGTGGACGTTCAAATACCACGTTGAATTATTGTGGGCTTTCTAGGACTCTTTAAGGGCAATAACTTTTCTTGGAATTTTGTTGCAGAGTAAAGAAATGCAAGGTGTTAACGACCACGATAGGTTAGTTTCAACTTATCGCCTCTACCACCCTCACCAAATAAATAAAAATCTGTTGAACAGCTCGTTTCCTAGAAGTTCGGAGTTCCATTTGTTGGAAAACCATCAAGACGCAAACCACAAACTGGAGGAGGAGCTCGGCCGAAACATCGCTTAAGCGGTTACAAAGCACAGAAATATAATTTATATACATTAAACTAGAGTAAATTTGATTCAACTATTATTTTTTGGAACTCACTAGGTTCCAATTCCTTGAAATCATACATAAAAAACTTCTTTATAGATAAATTATATAATATTTTTCAGTGTATTGAACCACAAACCACCTACCGTCCTGGCACACGCACGAAAAATTCCGGTTCATGTCCAAACTGACTGCAGTAAAAATCTTTAAGCTCATGCAAACGTGAGTACAAACTATGCTCCGGTCGAAGTGTCAAGCTCGACATGCAGATGGCGCTGTCAGCATTAGCAGCCATTCTTGTTACGATTCTAAGTCAAACCGGATTATTTGGTGCACTTTTTTTGTTGTTGTACTTTTGTATGTCTTTTTTATTAAGTTCTGTTTTGATTACTTCTACTAGATATTAATTACACTGCAGCATTTACAGCAACAAATGTTGACACTTTTGTTTGATTCAGCTAATTTAAGTGAATCTGCTTGTAAACAAATACACACACACACACATGTATTTCACACTCACAACACGCTCGACAATGAAAACGAGAATTTGCACACAAAAGATGAGTGAATGAACCGGCAGCGGAAGCACGGAATGAGGCGGCGGCGACGGAGGCAGCGCGAGTGTCGCAAAATTCCACGACAATTGCACACAAAAGCGGATTGATAAGAGCAGCCAGCGGCAGCGACGGGTCGGTTAACAATAACAATCAATAATAATTGGAGCAAAATACTGATTAGCCTTTGTTGTTGCTCGTTATGTGCAACATTTTTTTTGTTCTTTATAATTTAAACGTATCACAATTTAATACTCTTTATTCTTTTTATATGGCTTTTAATCAGATTTAATAGAAATTTTAATAATGCAGCAGGTAACTACTTGCTTGCCAGCGGCGCGTTTTTACTCTGAAAATGTCAGAATTTAACAGAGAAAGCGATAAAGTAAAAATAAATGTATTTCTTGTATTTGTGGTGTGAATTGTTCTAGGAGAGAGAGACAGAGAGAGAGAGAGCGAGCATTTAACACATGAAAGTGGGTGTGGAAAAAGTGGGAGAAAAGAAATGCGCGCGACGCACAGTGTTTCGACGATTATTTATGGCGAAAAATATTAAAAAAAATTGAGTTAGATTATAACAATAATTTTTTATAATTTTACAAGCTTAAAATGACAAAGTAAATAATAAAAAAATGTTCTTTGAGGGTATATTAGACCTAGTAAAAAGTAGTCCATTATCTATGTAACAGTTGGCTTTAGTGATCTGTATTTTGCCTTCTAAAAGTGTGAATGGATTTCGCTAGATGGCGTTGTATTAAAAAAGATAGAGGAAGAAGCTTCACGGAGTGGAAGTAATGGAAATATTCGAGTCTGAATTTCAAGCGAACAATATTTCGATTGCCCAGGAGATAGACATTGTATAAAAACTGTTTTCAAGCACTTGAAAAAGGCTGGACAAACAAAGAAGCTCGATATATGGCTGCCATACGAGTTAAGAAGAAAATACCTCATAAACCGAACTTCCACCAGCAAATCGCTGCTAAATCGTCTCAAAATCGAAACTTTAGTGAAATGGTGATTAAAAGAGAATCATTAAGAGCAACTCCAAATGGAAAAAGTAGTGTTTCAAGGCAATATGTAGGCACACATGGTCTCCAAGACAGCATTGACGACCAATAAGGTTTGTTTTGTGTATTTGGTGGGATTGGTAATGGGATCATCTACTATGAACTGCTTCCCCATTTAATTCGTACCTGTACTGTCAACAATTTGACCTTCTGAAGGAAGCTATCGCTTAGCTTTGGCCAACAGGAGAAGAATACATCGATAGTGACTCGTCGGAAGCTCTTCCCTCCCAGCACGTTTGTAAGGTTGTTATGCATCCACCTTAAAGTACAGACCTCGCACCAAATGATTACCATTGGTTTCTGTTTATGGTTAAGGATTTGGCTGGTTTAGAATTGGCCATCAATAAAGCCTATCAAAACGTTGGCCCCGCTTAAGATCTTTTTTTCATTTCTCGGGCTCGAACACACCAATTGTCATAATTGATTTTTGTAAAGAAAACGTAGAAAATGTGAAAGATTATGAACAATTGACAAATCATAGTGGGAAATGTCGCAGCTGATTTTTGCCTATCGACTGGATCATGTCATGACAATTTGCCCAATATTTTTGATAGGAAATGCGTGGCGGCAAATTTTGTAACAAAATTCTAGCTCCTACTTTATTTCATATTTGGAATATTGTGGCCAAAAACAATACTGCAACGATGCTCCAGCCTTCAAATTTGGCAGACTAGAGGTGAACTCTTCTTCCTCTTCTCTTTTAAGTAACAGGCGGACATGGCTTTTAAAGCGCATCGCTGGCAGAACTAAAGACTTCCTCAAAGAACGAGATAAAGTAACATTTCGTGGATTATAAAAAAAAGCTGTTTCAAGTGTATAATCTCTAATGGAACTATTTTTAAGGCAAAAATATCAAAGTAGAAGAATAAATAAATATTTTGTTGAGAAATAAAAAATTCTCGAAATTATTTTAACACATCTCGCACGTAAATAAAACCGCGCGCTTGTCACGTATTTTTTCTGACACGTATTTATGTACATATATATGTATGTACATTCATATGTATAATAATGTTTGACTGTCAAACAAATGTTAATAAAAAAAATATATCAATTTATCATTTTATGTATGCACAGATGTATTAAGTTTAAAACCTAAAAACACTTTGCTGCCTTCGCTACCCAACCGTCAATGCAGAAATTTGTATATACATACATATATACATATGTATATATGCACTTGTATAAATTTTTTAGATAACACTCTCTTATGTATGTATGTGCATTTATATAAATTTATAGCACATTTGTTATAATTAAAGACAAAAAAAAAAAAAGAAAAAAAAAAACACTTTGAACTGCAGCGCTTCGCTTTGGCAGTGAACGCAACCGACGACAACTTGAAAACAACTGAAAATTGTTTTTAAACATCTCGAGCATTTCTACTACAATAACTCACATTACTGATATACTTCACTGAGTTGTTGTTATCGTTTCTTTTTTTTTTTTTTTTTTTTTAATTTTTAAATTTTTATTTATATTTTTTTATATATTTTTTTTTTTTTTTTTTTTTTTTGAGCATACAATTCTCAGCTGCTTCGCCTTATCAGTTATCAGCTGCTCAACGCAACGCAGCTCGTAGGCAGCACCGTTTTTATCGTAAGTTGATGCTTTGTTATGTTGTTGGTATATATACATAGACATATACATATGTATGTATGCAGGTATGTCATTCAATGCTTTAAAAATATATTTACATATGTGAATTTATATGTTGATTAAACCGGTTTATTCTGTTAATTTTTGATTAGAAAATAAATCGAATTTTTCGTCACCTTCTTCGACTTCCGCCAATATCGCTGATTATTATGGATTCATTCATAACTCAAGTTGAATTAATGCACCGAAACATATGTATGTACATAATTATAACAATGCAGTAAATATATATTTTAATATGCATATACATGGTGTGTCCCAAAAATAACCGGATATAAAATAAAATACACATTATATTATCTTTGAAAGTTGATATTTATCCAAAACACGTTCCATTTGACTCAACACAACATTTGGAACGATCAACCAGCGCATGCCTAGATTTTTTTATGTCATTTATAGAAATGTTCTTCAGTACGTCGCCAACGGCTGCTTGAATGGCTGGGATATCATCATAAAATGCTCCCTTCATCTTGGTTTTCAGTTTTGGAAATAAAAAATAGTCACATGGTGATAGATCAGGCGAATACGGATGGTCGATGAGAGAAATCCCTTTTTTCATTAAAAATTCGAGCGATTTTTCGGTCGTCATTTAATTCATGTGGAACAAATCGCGCACAGACCTTTCTTTTCCCCAAATCTTCAGTTAAAATTCTCCAAATATCAAAATATCCAAATTTTTACTCATATTCAATTCCTCAGCCAACATTCTCGTTGTAAAATATGCATCGATACCAATGATTTCACGGACTCTTTCCACCAGTTCAGCACAATTACTAGTTTCTGGACGTCCTGCTCTAGGGTCGTCATTTAAATCCTCACGACCATTTTTAGTCCGTGTAAACCACGTATAAACTTGCGTACGACTCATACAATCATCACAATAAAATTTTTTCATTAATTTTTTTTTCAAGTTTGACACAAAATTTTATATTTGCTCTTTGTTCCATTTTATTTTTCAACTATTAGCACACTTTTGGTTTTATTGAAATGGGTGCCACTTTTACATCTGTCAACCGACTTACATGATGTTAGGTGTGTTCGAAAGAGGATGAATGTATCTTTTCAATGTTGCATATTTTAATAGATGGCGCTGTATGTTGTATGATTTAAAGTTCGGTCATTTTTAGGACACACCGTATATGAATGAATGAAGGGACGTTTCTGAGCTGCTGAGGGTTTTTTATCAGGAGCTTTATTTTAAAATCAGAAATACACCCGGATATTCGACATACTCGACATTCGCTGTTGAGGGGCGACTGCATTCGGGCCTTCCGAATGGTAGTATGCACTTTTAACAACTCGTTATTGCCGACGCCATATGAGTATGCCTTTATATAAAGGGTTTACCAATAAGTGGTGTTATTTTGAACAGCCTGCTATTCCAGTAGATGTCACCCTTGAAGCTGTAGTGGTTTGATATTTGACAAGTACAATCTACGCCAGCAATCAATCTACCCTTCAGGAACGCATTGAAATGATTAAAATTCACTATAAAATTGGTGAAAACCTGGCAGAGACGGTTAGTATTTTTGGGTCACCGTGAAGCACCTTGTTGGGCGGCAAATACTGAAATTGGTGGAAAAAAGGAGCTGTTGGGACAAATATGTGATGTGAAGAATAAAACCCTGCACTACGCTCAAGAACAACTGAGAATATTACGCAAAGAGTAGCCCAAAGTATTGAAGAAGACCCTCGTCGTTCTTTAGAATTTGCCATTCCACAAATGCCATTACACCTTATTTTGCATAAAGACTTCGGTCTCAATGCTTTTAAAGTTCAGCTAACACAAAAAACTCAAGCCGGCCGATCTTTAACAACGTCGTTTCTGTTTTGATTGGATTCTTGAAATGTGTGAAAAATGTTTCGGAATTTTATCGAAAAATAAGCTAAACTGATGAGAGTCATTTGCACCTCGATGGATTTGTGGAATGTGGAATGTGATATCGAGAGATGATTAGTGAATTTTTATGGCCGAAATGGGATGGAATTGAACTTGATAACGTGTTCTTTCGATAAGACGGTGCTTTATGGTATACGGGCAACCAAACCATCGATATTTGTTATCTTTCGAAGAGGACATTGCAATTGGCCACCGAGATTTTGTGATTTAAGAACTTGCGACTGCAATTTGGTGATGGAAAATAAAAAAGATACGGTCCTATAAGTGTGGCCATGGCGGCTATTAGACTAATATTGTCTCCCATTATTAAGGGCATATCTTCTTCTTTACAGTAAAATAAACATCCGATAATTTATCCAAAAAATTCCATATCTAAAAAAATGATTCTGTGCCGATCGGTATGAATTTGGATGGGTCTATCCCTTACCCTTTCGTACTTACATACTTTTGACCAAAGTGAATGTTGTATTTGATTTCAGGTACGTGAAGGGTATAAAAACTGTGACTTTGGGTGTATATTTGCTGAACTTAAGTGTTATACGCATTGATAAGCTGAAGGTGCTCTAACCTCGATGAGTTCTTGAATTTTTTACTAAAATAATTATTTCTATTTTGTTAATGAGAAAATAGAAACATTCAATGCAGCGCAACTCTTGAACTTCTTTGTTTTAAATGAACAATTATTTATAAAATTTCGTCTATGTTATAATTAAAGAAAAAAATATTATTAAAAATATTAGATCCGCACGTTATAGCTCGCCTGTATGTGGAATTGCAGTGCAAAGAAATCAGACTGCTTATCTCGTCAGGAAGGCGGTCGGCCACAATACGTGTGCGGTGGGATAGATGCCGAGAGTTGAAGTGGGATGCAAAACGCACTTGTAGACACAAAAGGAAGGAAAAGGCTTTAATGCGTGAATATGAAGAGCTTGAGATGGTGCCAAAGGCCGGACCATACTCACGCAAAGCCCAAAGAGTTGATCGTGTGCGTGAGGCTCAAAGTATACTGGGATTATGGAGGGAATACTTCTCCAGTTTGCTGAATGACGGTGAAAACCATACTTCAGGAGATGGTGGAACCGATTCTGCAATTAATGACGCTGAATGAAAGTATCCCTGACGATTGGAATTTAAATTTGCTTTGTCCAATCCACATCGAATTGGATCCCACAGACTGCGCCAATTATCGTTAAATAAGTCTCCTTAATATCACCTTTAAAGTTTATCTAGCATATTGTATGGATGAGCCTAACGTTAATGAGCTGAATGGACAACATCAGTGCGAGTTCACATTCGTCCTTTCGCTGCTTGCGATAGCCCGAAAAGAATATAAGCAGAAGAACTTTAATAAATCTGAATTCCCCGTAAAATTTATATCAAAAGCTCCTTCAGCATCAGGAAAGACTAAATTCCTACCTATTCAGACTAGACCTCGACATAAGCACTACTTTGATAAATCTTAAAGCTGCTTGGACTTCCAGATGACACATCTTGCTTACTTCTAAGCCGTTACAACAACAACTGCAACAGCTCTCTACGACCTTTGGACTTCTCAGACAAATATGACTCTTTATGGTGGGGCGTCCTTAATTTGCTGCTTGAGAAAATAAGAAGCGCTAAAAAAGAATAACTTACAATCTTCTATAAGAGTGTTCAACTTCTGGAACATTCCGATGATATTGATATCATTGACTTCAATAACCTCGCGGTCAGTTCTGCTAACTCCAGACTGGCGAGGGAAGCGAAGCGGATAAGTCCGGCATCAAACGAACAGACATCGAATTCGCAACTCTTTTACCGCGTCACTGTTGATAGTCATCGCCTAACTTGAAACCAGTATTAACACCAACAGCAATGTTAATCCTGAAATCCAACGCAGAATCACTTTTGTCTACAGGTATGATTTCGGATTCGACGAACGAAGAGAAAACTTTACTAGTACCTAATCAGTCCGGCAGAGAAATTGTAACAGCGTAACTCCTCTTAGTAATTTCTGAAAAATCTCTGAAAAGGGATTCACCACACTATGAAAAGGATTCACCCCTGAGGGAAAGGTATTCACCACACGCAAAATAACAACCGTCAAAACCGATAAGTCAAACGATTTTCTGCAAAAATAAAGAAATCCGTGGGCAATTATTTCCTTTAATTTAGCAATAACAAATATGCTAAATAGAAACTTAAAAAACTAATATAATAATATTTTTAATTTTTATCTTAGAATATTAAAAAAATATATTAATTATAGTTATATACATATATATTTTATATGGTCTTCCTCATTAAATATAAATATTTTTATCCAGAGAACTTAGGTCTTACAGAGCTATGGTGACAGTAAGTGACCGATTTCTTCGAGGTGTGTTAACCACAAATCCACCATGATGAGAGAACGAGTTGCACGCTGCACTTCCGCCATCTCGTTATATTTATATTTTCTGGAAAAACGTCGGCTAGATGGCGCCTTGCAGTGTTTTCCGGTTGTGTGTTTGAACTGTAAATGTTGAAATTGCTTTTGGAGTCATCTGTGAGGTTAATGTCGACAACTACCATATCGCCTAAGTTTATGCAACAATTATTTAAAATCAACAGCAGGAGTTTCTAGCATGCGATATGGACTATTTTTACAAATACTTTTTTTATTAAACTGTTTATGAATTTAAAAGAAATATAATGAAAAAATTAAGAGATTTAAAGCAAATGCTTTTTATAATTACTTTGAAAAATTTTCTTTTTTTTTTATATAATCAAAATTCTGTATGGTTTATGAAATGTTAA